CAAGGGGGGAGGGCGAGAGAGGATGAGGTGGAGGGGGGGGTGAGGGAGAGATGAGAGGAAAGGGGAGAGGACGGAGAGCGAGCGACGGAAGTGGAAGAGGGGGAAGGGATGGGGAGGCAGGGAGGGAGGGAGGGAGGGAGGCAGGGAGGTCGGACAGACAGGCTCGGAGGGGGGAGAAAATGGAAGAGGGTGAGAGAAAGAAGGGGGCGACGGATGGGAGGGGGAGGAAGCAAAAAAAAAAAAAAAAAGGGAGAGAGAGGAATAAAAGCCAAGGAGAGGCTGACTGAGTGGGAGGAAAAGGGAGGGAGATGGGAGGGAGGAGAGGCAGGAGGAGGCTGCTCGGCTCTGCTGGCAGAAAACAGGTTTCCCCCTTTTACAGTGGTGAAAAACAGGAGAGGGAAGAAAAAAAAAAAAAAAAAAAGGCCTCCAAAGCCTCAGGTTTCCTCAATCCTACTGCTGCTGTTTACATTTCTTCTCCTATAATGTTTGCAGCTTCAGGTGACATCTACAGTGATGGCAGAGGAAAAAAAAAAAGTTGCACAGAGGTTAGTTGTGTCACTTCCACTGCACACCTGTCTGCAGACCTGAAAGTTGTGATCCGTCAGTACATCAGGTGTGTTAACATAGTTGTATAGATTGATAGATACTTTATTAATCCCCTGGGGGGAAATTAAAGCTCCCACATGTTATATTTAAGAAATAAAAGAATGTACAAATAGATAGTCACAGATAGTGTTTATGACCATGATGTCCCACCTTATAGGTCAAGGTATGAGTGCATCACAACCCTCCCAGTGTCACCTTTAAAGATTTGGTTTTCCAGATTAAACAAAAAAACAAAAAAAAAAACTTGCATGATCCCATAAATTCTGTGTCACAACACAAAACTACACCAGCTACACTTCCAACAGCTTCCCCTCCTCCTTACACATTTGAATATCTGCTCTGGTGTGGACACGACAGGCCAGATCATAACAGTGGATCTCATCTCTGATCAACATCTGGCAGAATCCAGATCGATAGCTTTGGCAGGGAGCTGCTGCTGCTGCTGCTGCCACTGACAAAGAATGGGGGCACACGGCGCTAAGTTAGCATGCTAAGCTAGCTCAACTCGCACCAACAACATGGGGCTGTTCTTAAACTAAATCTGCCATTCCTGCTCGCGATTCCTTACAAATCACATCCCAGTGTCACAAACAAACCCGCAGGAGAAGTAATTCAACTTAGCGCCGCCGCTACTTCCATTAAACAGAGTGTTCCGACAGCCAAGTTACCTCAGCTGTAGTTCACCGCCACCCATCGCATCTCCGCAGGTAGCCGCTGCTAGCAGCAAACTCTCTCCGCCCGAAGGCTGGAGCCCGACAACGGTATGACACACAAGTTTACCTGCTTTCACATCCAGCGCTCCCGTCCGAGTGAAACGAGCCACCTCCGGGCTGCCCGAAGCGACGTGCGGACACTTTCCCAGCCGCTCGGATATCTCGGTTACGTCCGTTCAGGTGACAACTCGCCTCGCTGAGGGGAGAGCCAGCCAGCCGCCCGGCCGTTGGTCTACCCTCCAAACCCGACTGTCCCTCGCCGACAACGGGCTGTCCTCTTCCCTCTGGTCGGGAGCCTCATGAGACAATCAAAACCTCCATTCCCCGGAGCGGTGAGGGCGGACACATGTCCCGGCGCTGGGGGACAACTACCGGCGGTGATAAACGGTGCCTATGATTGCCTGGCAGCGGATAACGCTGAGCCCATTCTCCTCTCTGACAGACAATACACATCCAGCGGAGAAACTGCCCTATCCAAAATGGCGCAAATAAAAGGGGCGGAAGTGACATCTACTTGATTAGCATAAATAATCTCCCCCTCGCGAGCCCCGGCTCATTAAAACTCTTGATTGGTTTGTCAATCAATTTGGCCAATTAAGCAAATATGAGACAGAAAAAATCAAACTAATTCGTCCCGGTAGCGCTCCGGCGGGGCCTCGGGTTTCTGTGTGCGGCTCCGTGGGGTAAACAAGCCGGCGCAGCAGTGGCGGGAAGCGGCCGACAGCGGGCGTCCTCCCGGAGTGGGTTACTGCCGGCTGAGGCGCATGCGCGGTGCGGCTACATCTGGCATCCCCCCCCCTCCCCCCCCTCCTCCCCTGCGGAGAGTCGGATGCACACAGAGCCTCAGCACTCAGCTGGAGCCGCACAACCAACGGCAGGTGGCGCTGTAAGGATCCGAGCGGCCGGGACTACTTTCCTGCACAAGGGGCAGCAGGTCAGCAGAAAAGCACGTTTAAAAAACAGTAATAAAGATTAAAAATAGCCGCACAGAACCCTGTAAAACACGCTGGATGAAAACACAGCAGCACCTGGAGGTCACCTGTGTGTGTGTGTGTGTGTGTGTGTGTGTGTGTGTGCAGTTTGCATGTTCTCACCTGCACCTGTGTGAGCTTCATCCAGGTGTTCCTCCAAACAACAGCATGCAGGACAGCTTCAATCACAACCTGCAGATGTCAGAACAAGCTGTATATCTGACAGCTTACGGTGCATTTTTCACTTTAGTTCATTTTTAATTGTAGAATATTTTACACTATGTTGTGCATTTTTGTATTTTAGTGTATTTTTCTTATTTATTTGTATTTGTGTTGGTTCGAAGTATTTCTATTCTAATTTTTTTAAATATTTTTTTCCTTCATATGCTAGAATCTGTGCAACATTTAAATTTTTCTAATTCCAGACAAATCTGTGCAATATTTGTTTATTTAGTCAGGCTTTTGATTGATTTTATTTATTTATTACTCTTCTTAGAACTTGTTTTATTTATTGATTTCTCTGTTTATTCACTTATTTACACATTTTCATCTATTCAACGTGTTTATTGCTTTGTTTTTTCTCAGTCTTAATTCTGCTTTTATGAATTTTGATTTCTGTTTTGCCCTTCACCCGTCTATCTGTATTTTAATAACAGATATTTCATTTTTTCTCATTTATTTATCCTATTTGATTTCGTTTTAGCTCATCTGGTGTCTCCTCGTTGCGTGTTTTATTTACGTCAGCGTTTCTAACACGATGTTGGAGGTCGTTTGTGTTGTTTTATTGCATTTTTAATTCTTTCATCTGTGAAGCAGTTTGCGTTACATTCCGCTTGCATGAAAAGTTCTGTATAATTAAAGTCTGATTAAAATCTGTGTAATATTAATATTTCTCTCAGTATTTCTACTCATGAAAGAATTTATGCACCATCACAGATATGTGCAGTGGTGTTGTGTCCACATCCAGAGAATTCAGACAATCTGAACTAACACTTGTGTTTATTTATTTTACTGATATTTCTTAAATATTATCCCCCATTACTGCTGTAACAACGCTAACTCCCCCACTGTGGGATTAATTAATTCAGGCTTATGGGTCCTGTGATGANTTCTGTTTTGCCCTTCACCCGTCTATCCGTATTTTAACAACAGATATTTCATTTTTTCTTATTTATTTATCCTATTTGATTTCGTTTTAGCTCATCTGGTGTCTCCTCATTGCGTGTTTTATTTACGTCAGCGAGTCGTTCATTTCTAACACGATGTTGGAGGTCGTTTGTGTTGTTTTATTGCATTTTTAATTCTGTGAAGCAGTTTGCGTTACATTCGGTTTGCATGAACAGTGCTGCATAAATAAAGTCTGACTGATTAAAATCTGTGTAATATTAATATTTCTCTCAGTATTTCTACTCATGAAAGAATTCATGCACCATCAGATATGTGCAATATTGTTGTGTCCACATCCAGAGAATTCAGACAATCTGAACTAACACTTGTGTTTATTTTTTTTTTACAGATATTTCTTAAATATTATCCCCCATTACTGCTGTAACAATGCTAACTGCCCCACTGTGGGATTAATTAATTCAGGCTTATGGGTCCTGTGATGAAGCTCCCACCTCTGCGGGATGCAACACACACACCGAGGGTGGTAGTCTGGATGTCAAACTCCACTCGGATCAAGATGAGCAACTTCAAACTTTCCAACCTGCTCCAGAGTTCAGGAGCAGCCGCTGCATCGCTTCATCCAGATGTGGGAAAATCCACTAACATCTGTAGTCTGAGCTCAGTGCTCCACCTGAGCTAAGAAAATGTGAATATTCTGATAAATAAGTTGGTGCAAACCCACCTAAACCCTTAGAAACAAACAGTACATGTAGGAATTTGCAGCATTTCTGTGTCCTCCATAACAATAAATACAATATTTTGAGTTTCTTAATAAGCAGTATGATGTGAGGGTAAATAAGTCATTGAAAACCTTAAACTCAATCCTGAATCAGACTGGACACCATAAGCGATGGTAAAAATTCTCCCACAGCTTCCAGGTTTGCTGCGATGCTAATTTAGCGCCACACGGAGACAATCTTCAAGCAACACTGAGCGATGAAGCGGCTGAAGTTTCATCAGCCGAAGCCGAGGAAGCACATTTTCAAATCATACACACACAAACCAGCGGAGAGCGCATAAAGCCTGGAGGTTCGGAGCTCCTGGAGCTCTGAGTCGGTGTCAAGTGTGGATGTTAAATGTCTTAACTGACGTTTTAAGATTCGCTGAGCTCCGGCGGCCGAGCGGGTTGCCCATTAATAGCCGGGTTGGCAGGCCGGTGCTCAGCGGGCGGCTGAGAGGCCGGATTTTAAAGCGCTTTGTCAGTTAAGGTGGAAAAGTGGTTTATAAGTGGAGCCCACCGACTATTTAGTGCATGAGAGAGAGGAGACGACCAGGCCGGTACCTGCTGCTACCACACAAGCTGCATACGGCACCATGAAGTGTGGTCAAGTTAACTTTCACACACACGTCAATCGTAGCTTTTGATGTTCTCGGAAACCTTAACCTCTGTTTAAGGGCTTACATGAGCGGTGAGCGTCTCTATCAGCGGTCAGAATGGCTCTGAGGTGGTTCTGACTGAAAATCTTAAAGTCTTCTCAGGAGGAGAAGCTGCCTACTGAAGGTTTTGACTTAGTGTTTAAACAAAAAAAACCCAAAACTTCCATTTCTGCTTTACAAACAGTTTAATTTTATACAAACAATCACAAGCCGTCGGACGTTCTCGGTGAAGTGGTGTCGGGAATGACGAGCTCTGTTCAGATGGGATTAACGAGGACGATGGGAATGTGAGGCTCTGTGTTCCTTCGGTTTTCTGAACAGCTACCGACGAGGAATTATTTTACATTTACTGCCGACGAGGAGAGACGCCTCCCTCGCCGTCTGCCGTCGCGTCGCTGTCTCGGGGGAAGCTTTCATTTCCCCTCCTCGTGTAACTACTGTATTAAAAACACAGTGACTTTTAAGAATGAGAGAAATCCTACGAGACTGGGAGACGCCCCGACGCATCACGTGGTGGCGAACAGTGTGAGGAGTCCCTTGGCGTATGACACGATCTCGTTGCCGCCCAGTTTGGACTCTCCGTAGACGCGATCCACGAAGGAAATAGGTACCTGTTGATTGGAAGAAGAAGAAGAAGAATTACTTTCCAGTTCACATCCCAAGGTTAAGGGAAAAGTTAAGGGAAACTTAAATATTTGTTTGACTTTTCTTGATCCAGATGACTCCACGCTGCCTCTCTCTGAGCGACACATGGCCTCACAGCTCTAACATATTTATCTAGTCCAGGTTTGCTTAGCTAGCGAGTCCACAGGAGCGTTTTTGGACTTTCGAGGTCGTGCATTGGACAACAGGAACAGGAAACCGTTACTACAAACACTGGCTGCACCTGACTGATGCAGATGAAGCAGAGAAATCACCCGTTTTTATTTTATAAGATGCATGTTTCACAAAGTCTGCTTGTTAATCTGCTGCGTGGCAGCTTAAGTTTAATGGTTTTTGATCTAAAACTGGTTCAGTGTGGTCGGGAAGGACAACAAGTCAGCAAGCAGCTTTTCATTTTGAACAAATTGAACCGTCGTGTAAACAACCTGAGTGAGGTGGTTCTTCAGATTTTACCGGCTTATCGGGGTCTGATTGCAGAATAAACTGAATTTCTTTGGACAGGTTTTGTAGGGTTCTTAGTAACATGTTGTAGTTTATAAATTCGCTCTTTTCTGATCAGGTCTGGATGCAGACGTGTCCTAAAATCCATCGCTGGTTTAAATAAAGTTCAGCCTTTTAGTGTGATTTCTCGTTTCTAATTAATTACAGGATGAGAAAAAAGCAAAACCTAGAAAAATATTGAACTTTCCTCAAAATTAGAAGCTGCTAATCAGAAGCAGGTCCAAAGGAAGGTTTTATATGAACATTACAGACAAATAGAGGATTTATCTGGATGATAATGAACCACAGCGATAAACGAGGCCCTCACCTCTCCGATGGTGTAGTTGAGCTGTCTGGCTCTGACGATCATCTCCATCTGGAAGACGTATCCTTTGGAGACGCAGCGCCCGACCAGACTCTCCAGAACCTTCTTCTTGTACAACCTGACGTCAGTGAGATGAAGAGCAGCAGGATTTGTGAGAAGCTTCGAGGCAGCTGCAGCTCAGAAGTCGCTAAATTTGCGGCGCTCACCTGAAGCTGCCTGTCAGGTCTGAAGCTCCGGGTCTCAGCAACACTTGAGCCAGAAAGTTTGCCCCCCGACTGTGAACGAGAGGAGAGAGAAGAGAGAGAGCTGAACCTCAGGCTCCTGACGACGAGGTGAGGGGAAACCGAAGACAAAGCAGCGCCACATGATCGCTACCTGATGAGCTTCCTGCGCAGGTCCCAGCCGTAAACGCCTCCGTTTCCTCTGTAGCGAGTCCCGGACACCAGGTCGTAGTCGCCTTCCTTCTGCTTTCTGAAAACAAGCCAGAGTCACGTTTTAACTACACGACACACAGCGACGACACATTCAGACGTTATAGATTAGTAATCAGGCATAAACACGAGCATATCAGCTTAAAAACAGCCCAAAATACTAAATCACAATTTAGAAAAATGGAAATTTGGAGAAACTTACTCAATAAATTCTGGAATAAACTTGGGCTGAAATAAAAAAGGAACAAAGAACAATAAAATATGAACCACAGAATCAGTTAGATTTCACATTTCAAGGATTATAAACAGAAGAGAGCTGACAAAGAAAAAAGACCAATAATCTGAATATACTGACCGCTGTTGAGACGAAACAAAGCAATTAAAGAAGATCACGTTATTTTCCAGCATGTTGTGGATCAATAATTAAACACTGACGAAAAAATACCTGAAAAATAAATTAAAAATCAATCGAGTTTATGTGCATCGCATGTTTGAAACAAGAAAAATCAGTTTAGAAGACAAAATAAAATAAATATAAAATGAAAAAAAAACAAAAAAAAGGCAAACAGCTTGCAAGAATAAATTCAAAAATAAAAATAAAAATTCTGAAAAAAACCCCCCCCAAAAACAACAACAAGCAAGGACAAAGCAAAACGGGATAAAAAAAAAAAACAATAAATAAATAAATAAAAATATATATGTATATACATATAAAACAAGGTGACAGGATAGTAACTCGTAAGATCAAATTCTAAAAATAAAAAAAAAACAAAAAAAAAAAAAAATAAAAGAAATACAAAATACTATAAACAAGATGAAACAGGACAAAAACGTCTAAGATCAAGTTATAAAATACAACATATATAAAAGACTAAAATATTAAGACCATTAAAAGCCAACAAAAGCCATTAAACAAACGTATGACTTCAGATTTCCTGACGACATTTTGGCTGTCGGTCACATCCTTCATGTCATTTACATTAATTCAACTTTTCCAGCATTCCTCAGCTGAAGGTAGCATCCTCTCACCACGGAGTAAATCTGTTTGATTAATTAACTACCTGATCATTAAAACAGTCGTCAGAATCAGCTCCATGTGCTGCGTCATGGAAGCCGGAGGTCGTATTGTAACTCACATGATGGGACAGATCGGCGTCCATGATGATGACGAAGTTTCCGGTGGCGTGTTTCATGCCGTGGATGTAGGCGGTGCCTGTCAAAGTAAAACACGAGCACGTCAGTCGGCTGCGACATTTACCAGCACAAACACACCAAACGTTGACAGGTCCAACTTACCCAGGCCTAGCTTTTTGGCCCTCGGTCTCAGAACCTGAAACACAGAGAAGACTTCAGAGCTCCATGCAGCATTCATTGACTAGATCCTGCTACATGGACACAGCAGGCGAGGGAATAATCTAAATCATTCACACTCAATACCAGACCTTTATAAATCAGAATCAGTTCTACTGGTCTAGTATCTGCACATACGAGGAGTTCGGCTCCGTTTTGTTTTTACTTACAGTAAACATACATTCATGTAAACAGATTAAAGACAGAAAACATGCAGAGTGATGCACAACTATATAAAAGTGTAAAAGATTCTGCTGATATAGGAACAAACAGCTGTTAACGGTATTATTTGGCTCTTTATGTACATGAGGTGGATGACATGACTCGTTTAGTGTACTTGGTGCTTCCTAAAGTCAAACGTCCAGCAGTACTGATTAACTCACTATCTTGTCCTCCCCGTAAATCTTCTGTAACTGCTCCGCCACCTCCAGTGTCCCATCTGGGCTTCCGTCGTCGATGACGATTATCTCGTAGTTATATCCGCTGTAATCGCAAACAAATCAACTGAAGGGGGCAATTTGTTTCAGGTAATTTTATACCACCAACACATACACAAAAACAAACACCAACAGCTGACTATTAGATACAGGCACATTTCATTTCAGGTCTTTTCTTAGGTGACAGTGACCTCACTAATCTGAAATCACGAATATGCACATACCATGTTGTCTTTGCTGTTAACATGAGGGGCACGTGGATGATTATTTATAAGTTTGAACATAAAATACCAAGAACTTGTTCTGTAACTTGTGAAAATGTCTGAGGACGTAGGAAGAAGCCCCCAACGATGACTTTCAAAACTCTTGCCTCACTGTTAAGTTTCAGATCAATTATGTTCACTATGAAGTAACACAGCCACATAAAAGCTCACCAGCAGTCAAAAACTGACTTTATCTCACAGTAATAATGCTATGCTATATTAGCTTGCTGCAGCATTAGCTAACTAGCTGACTTGATGTGAAGGTAATAATGTTATGCTATATTAGCTTGTTGTAGCATCATCTAGGCTAATAACATTGTGCTATATTAACTTCCTGCAGGACAATCTATCTTTGGTAGGATAATAACGTTTGACTATATTAGCTTGCTGTAGCACTAGCTAACTAGCTGAATTAATGTTAAAATTATATTGTTAGACAATATTAGCTAACTGTAGCACTAACTAACAAGCTGACTTTATGTTAAGGTAATAATGTTATGCTAATTTAGCTTGCTGTAGCAAAAACAAGGCTAAAAACATTGTGCTATATTAGCGTGTTGCAGCTCTGGCTAACTAGTTAACTTTATGTTACAGTAATTATGTTATGCTATATTAGCTTGCTGTAGACCTAGCAAGCTAGCTTGAACTCTTTGCTACTGTCAGCTAAACATCATTACTTTGTTTACATTCATTTAAGTTCATGAATTTATATAGTCACGATAATACAGTAAAGTTAGAACTTTTGTCAATTGTAATTAACTGGCAATAATCAAACCGTATTAAAATACTTATATCTGTATTATTTCACATTTATGCTACAGTTAAAGTCTGAAAACCATGAAAATTTGAGGATATAGTTAATATTATGCATAAATAATAATATTGCACAAAGGGAATTGTCAAGTTCAATACCCTTCTCCCAAGATTTCACATCTGATTTTATAATAACAAAGCTGTAATCTTTTAGAATTAAATGAATTAACCTCGTAACACTTCCTTGTTTACATATTATAATGATAACTAAAAATAGACATGTTAAACAAATTAAAAATCGATCTTAAGGAAACACATGAGGCGATATATAAGTGAACAACAGGAGGCCGGTTAGCTTGTAAATATCCTGTTTATTATTGTAGTGTAACAGTCAATGCTAACGTTAGCATCGTGTAGCCGCTGCTGTAGTGACAGCTCATCGCTGCTGGTATTAACTTAGCAGGGATGCTAGCTAGCAGCAGCAGCAGCAGCCGAGCGGCTCCGCGGCTCTCAGTGACCCACCTTTCCCCGAAATACTTCACCAGCAGCCAGACTATCAGCGGCAGGTTCTCCCGTTCGTTGTAGGTCGGTAACAGCACCGAATATTTGTTGCCGCTGTCCCGGTTTTTCGGAGCTTTTCTGCTCGCCATGGCGACGTGAATCTGCCGGAAACACACCGCGTCAAGTTACAAATGGCGCCACACGATTGCATCCTGTTTAGGTTTTCAAAATAAGTGTCTGTTCTACAATGATATTTTTTATTGTGTCGAAATAAAAACTGGGGTGGAGATTTTTTCTGTCTGACCATCACATTCGCTGAATCCTACCAAAAACGCATCACCACCGATGTATCATAAATGCTGGAGGTCTTCTGAGCAGACAAAATGGACAAAGTGGGATTCACAAAACAATCTCATCAGAGCTGTCATGGTCACCATCCTCACAGATTAGGATTTTTAACCTTTTGATTATTTCACATCGTTGTATAAAGCTTCTGAGAAGCACATGCACACTGGTCCAGTTGGTTTAAATAAGCGCACTTACTTATATGTTTCTGATAATATTCAGATATTTAGCTTTTAGTTGTGATATCAGGCTAGAAACACTCTACAACAATAAATATTTATTGTATTTATTTTTTCTAGTGGAGTGTGTGAAACATTTGCAATGCAAGACACCAAAGTATTTACAAGGTAGACTGATTCCAGGTTCCCCAGAGCTGACTCTTATTTTGAAAAATAAAGTCGCATTGCCAGTGAGTGTCAACAGCTGAAGACAAACCTGTTGCACTGCTTCCTCCTGACAGGTTGGAGCTGCTGATGTGCTCTTCAAAGCAGACACTAGGAGAAACACTTCCCCTCCAACATGGTTCCAGCTCTAAGTTTCACTCCTCTGACTGTCAGGAGAGCAAAATAGACGTAAAGTATAAACACAGTGGCCTCAAAGTGAGCAAACATCGTCCTTCTTTATCACCAGTTTGTCTTGTCTTCATTTAGTTGAAAGACATTTTGCTGCATTCAGGTATTTACGACCTCAAGACAAAGCTGCCAATTTATTTTGTAAAAAAAACACAACATCACACTTTCTTCGACACATATTTATAGGATTTTATTAACAAGATAAAAAAACAAACAGACAAACACCATCCATCCATCTCTTTCTCTCTCTCTCTCTCACGCACACTAAAGCTTACGACCCAAACCCAGGAAATCAGAAAATGTAAACATCAGTTAGAATTCATACTGTATAAAATATACACGGATAACCAGGAAACACAATAAACAATATACAAATTATGGTACACGGGACAGACGACAGACATTCTCACAGTATCGTTCCTACCATGGAACAAAAAGAAGCTTGTGCACCATGGACGACGTGTTTTCATGATCCTTTGAGGCAGTTTAAGGTTAGAATTGCAAATGAAACACACAGAGGACTAAGCTAACGGGCATCGATACAGTGCATGAATACATGAAGGTTTCAGTGCGAATACGGTGTATGAGACAGCACTTCACTGATCCCACTGGGAAAAACACGTTTCTTATCTATTCATCTATTCTACGTTACAAAGCTCCCTAAATTCATCTCTCAGCCACGTTTTACAAATAATCTCTGCAACAAGAGCACAGAGACGGAGATCCTTCCTGTGTTGCTTCCTTTGCTCACATGCGATGAAGTGTCCACGTCTGCTACGTTCAACATGTGAAACCTCTTCAGTGGCACGTTCGTTTTCAGTCTTTTACCTCCAGAGGAAACAGCAGCTATTTCATACAGTCACCTCAGCACTGCTGTGGGATTCCCGGCCTCCGCTCAGGGCTGGTAGCCGTAATAAGGATCCTCTGGGTGAACACAAAACACACACAAGAGTCAACACTGCAAAGATCCAAAACACATTTTTGTTCTGTTTTATGAACTCGGAAATGTAAAATAAAAGCTGGAGGAAGCTGGTCAGAATGAGCAGCTGCCTCTCAGTCCATCATGTTTATTTAGTTCCTACAGCTGCTTCTGCTAAAATGTCTCGACGCTCATGAAATGTTGTTGCAAGACTGAACACAATCACAACTTCCAGATGCCTGAAGGTTCCACGTTCATCTGTTCAGACAGTTCTATCAGTAGAACCACCATGGGAATGTCCAGCCATCATGGGTTCAGGAAGGAGACGGTTCTGTGTCCCAGAGATGAAGTGTTCTGGTGGAAATGTGTGAATCAACCCCAGAACAGAAGCTAAAGACCTGAGAAGATGCTGCTGAAGCTGGTCAGAGAGTCATTATCCACAGTGGAACCAGTCCTGTACCGACATGGGCTGGAAGGCTGCTCAGAGAGGAAGAAGACATCACTCCAGAAGAAACATAGAAAAGACAGATTACAGTTTGTAGATGCACACAGGGACAAAGAGCTTCATCAGTGGAGACATGTCCTGTGGTCTGATGGAACTAAACCTGAACTGTTTGGCCTTAATGACCATCGGTACATCTGGAGGAAAAAGGAGGAAGCTTGAAGCCTGAGAACACCATCCCAGCTGTGGAGCACGGGGGTGGCAGCATCATGCTGTGGAGGGACTGGTGACCTTCACACAATAGATGGCATCATGAGGAAAGAACATGATGTGGAGATATTGAAGCAACATCTCCAGACATCAGCAGGAAGTTACAGCTTGGACACTAATGGGTCTTCAGATGGACAATGACCCTCAGCATAGCTCCAGATTAGCTACAGAGAGGCTTCAGGACAACAGAGTCAGTGTTGTGGAGTGGCCATCACAAAGCCCTGATCTCCATCCTGGAGAACATCAGTGGAGCAAGGAGACCAACAAACTTGACCCAGTTCCACCAGTTCTGTCAGGAGGAATGGGCCAGAACTCATCAGACTGTTGTGAGAAGCTTGTGGAAGGAAACCCAGAACGTTTGATCCAAAGTCATAGAGTTTAAAGGCAACGCTAGCAGATACTGAGGAGATGGATGGAAACTTCTGACTTTGAGGAAAGGAATAAAAAAACTTTATCAAATATTAATAATGTTGGTGATCCTGACTGACCTAAAACAGGAAAAGTTTAGTCTGATTTAATGTCAGTGAGAAAAAACATGTTTTGTGCTGTTTTTTTATACAGTTTATATATAAACTTCCAGCTTCCTCGTACAAACTGACTCATTAATTTCTCCCAGCAGGTCCAGGCTCAGCGAGCTCACAGACACCTGGACTCCTTAATCTTCTGTCGTCAGTAGGTCACGTCAGCGGCTCACCTGTTTGCTGAGGAGCTCTGTGGCAGCCTCCACTGCTGTCGCACACACCCGGTGGTCCGATCTCACCGGGCTGGCCGGGTGGTCCGGGGAACCCCGGTGGTCCCGGCTTACCGTCGTCTCCTTTGGAGCCCGGAGTTCCCAGCTTGGACTCACCTGGAAGACCTGCAGACGCACATTAAAAGGCAGACGTGTATCACGAGCAGACACCGGCACTGGGCTGTTTACTGGGGATTTATGATAAAGAGGGAACCTGCGAATCCTTTGATCCCCGCTGGGCCCTGGACGTTGGACCCGGCGTCACCTTTCTCCCCCGGCATCCCTCGTCTTCCTGCAGAGGACGAAACAAATCAGCAAGAAGACCTGAGATGTGTCCAAAATCAGCCAAACTACACGGTGTACTTTATACAGTAAAGACGCATTTTATGGTGTGAAGACGTATTTATATTTTCTTGGAACGAGCCCTTTGCTGATTATCTGTCAGTCATGTTGGTCGTTGTGCTGTCAGTTGGTTCTGACACTGTTCAGTCTGTGATCCAGATCAGTCCAGGTTTTTGTGTGTATTTGTTTTGTAATATTTCTGATCAGCTGATTTATCTGATTGTGAGTTTAGAAAGGTTTATCTGGACATTTTTCCTTCATAAACGTGTGATTTAAATGTTTTTTTTAGTTGAGATGATCGATTTTTGCCCTTTTTGGGGGATTTTATATCATGTGCTGTTATAGATTCACAAGTAGGACGTTTGCCATCTGATTTATTTTTTTGCTGTAACTTGTCGAAATGACAACAGACAAATCCATGAGCTATGGCGAAAACCTAAAAATTAGAACTAATAACTCATAAGTTTAGTGGAAGCAGAGCGATGCATCACATCACAACACAAACAAAGAAAAAAGGTTATTTTCATTTATCCATTTTGGAAGCTACGATGACTATAATATGAATTTATCATAAAAATGCCACTTGGTTCCCGACCATAGCCGACATCGATGATCTGATCCGATTCAGTTGAGCATCAGCAGTAATGTAATTAATAATAATAATGATAATTAGCACCGAGACGCGAGTAGAGTCTGAGATGTTACTTTCCAGAGGAGCTCCCTACATATTTGACCACTTAGCCGCCGTAGACAGGGAGGAAGAAATGAGTGGATGGTTTGTTTCTATCTCAACAGCCCATCTAATAAATCAGGTTGTACCCTGCTCTCCTGGATATCCGGGCTTGCCGGGTCTCCCTCGGTTCCCGACGTTCCCCTGGTTGCCCCGGCCGCCCGGTGGGCCTTTGGGTCCTGGTATACCCGGTTCCCCCGGAGGCCCCACCGGCTCCTCGATCGGAGCTGGCTTCCGACTGATCTCGTTAATGAACATGTCGAGCTTCAGCACCTCCTCTGAAAAAGCAAGAACACGTTTTCATACCTTTGTTTGATGCTACAGCGAGTCCTGGTTCTAGTTTTCTTAGGTGCTCCCTACTTACTGTGTACCAGCTGCTCACAGGCTTGTGTGACCAGCTGGTAGATGATGGCCATAGACTGAGGTTCCCCCTGAAATAAAACATTCAAATAAAGCCAATTTATCAGCAAGAAATTACATTTTAGAAACAGCAGTTATTTAAACATGAGCCCCGTCCTGTTCCAGATTCAGGATCATGAAGCTGTGACCCACCTTTTCTCCTCGTTCCCCTTTATTCCCCGGCAGACCCTGAAAAGTGAAACAGATACGAGTGTAACAACAGATATGAGGACAAACAGAATTATGCTGCTTTTTGCTGGTTTTACCGTCGGTCCAACGGATCCTGAAGGTCCCCTCTCCCCTATCGGCCCCGGATATCCAGGCATTCCCTGGAAACCCTGAACCACACAAACACATGAACAGATGAATAAACGCTCATAGACACCACTAATATATACACACTACGACAATAATGCACAATTTAACTTCTCATGAATTTCTATGATTAGAAAACATCACATTTAGTTGCAGAGTTCACATTTCATCTGGCAAATAAGCTTCAGACTTTGGCCTGAAGGTGGTGCTGCAGGAAAGCTTATGATGCTTCTCAAATGTGCATCAGGTTTTAACACTTGATGCCTTTTCTCCTGATGGTGGGACGAGATAAAAGGTTCGAGGTCACCAAAAGCACTGAGAACATTTACAGGAGTTTTCCAAAATGTTCCTCTTAAAATTATGTCTAAAAAGCGGCGCTAACATCTTAAATGTCTCTAGATGGATGAAAACTCGACCCTACCCGAGGTCCGGTGGTTCCTGGTCCACCGATGTTCCCTTCGACGCCCCTGATTCCCTGAAAAACCCAATGCAGAGAGATGAGAACAGCTCAGCAGGATAAAGAATCGCTAATATCCAAACTGGTCTGTGTGAGCTGGTGTGGAGCAGCTCACCTTGGGGCCGGGGATTCCCTCCTCCCCTTTAGGACCTGGAGGTCCAGGCAAACCCTGCAGGTGAAGAGACGAAGAAAGTTGGATAAGAAGCAGCTAGAAGCAGGTTGATGGACTTTAAAAAGACTGAGGCGGTTTCATTTTTTAATCACCTGTAATCCAGGTCGCCCAGGATCTCCTTTTTCTCCTCTTGCTCCCGGTGGACCCTGACAGGAAAAAGACAAAAAACAGTAAATTTTTGGAGCCACGATGCACAGTGTCAGTCTTGGGTTTTGTGGCATTTATTTCCTGTTTTATTTTGAAAAAGAATCCTATCCTAGTGAGTCTCTTGGTCCTTTTCTTCCCTCCTTCCAGCCTCCTCGACTCCTCGATCCTCCCTCGTGACCCAGACACTGATCTTGGTGCATCATAAAGGACGTCTCACTTCCTAAAATGCATTTTCAGGATCGCGGAGGCTGCTGGAGGTGCTCTGAGCGAGGACTTATCGTCGCTGTATCCTCGGTGAAGACATCACGACACACAGCCGGAACACACAAACCACATAACTGACAAATATCTGCATGTGACATTTAATATTAATAAATGTCACGCTTTATTTGCATCGTCCTAACTTGTCTGCTACGACTTTCATACTTCACATCGCATGTGTGTGTGTTGAACAAAAACTAAAAACGTACGACGTCTGTACATTCTCTTCACAGCCTGCTGCACAGTGAACTGAATTATAAGTCAATATAAACTACAGAGATCATAACACACAGCGGTAGGCTTTAATAAAACAAAGGACCGGTGATGTAGGTGTGTCACATTTAATTAAATCTAAACTCTAGCTGTTGTGGGTTGAACTAAGACGGGAGCAAAGGAGTCGAGGACGTACGATTAGTAAAATGAGATAATGGGATAGTCTTGAGTTTTGTTTGGTTTATTTCCTGTTTTATTTTGAAAAAGAACCCTGTCCTGGTGTGTCTCCTGTTGTTTAACTTCCTCCCTTTGTCTGGTTTTCCCTCCTTCTTTGACGACCCTGTTTATCATCACCTGTTTCTTGCCTCCCCGTTAGTTCTCTGTGTTCATATAAAGTCCTGCGTCCTCCTTTGTTCTCCACCAGTCCGTCCTGTTTGTCTCCTGGTTGCTAACCTCGTGTTCTTCCTGTTTTGTCTCGCAGATTACCTGCCACCTGTCCTCCACCTGTTTGCTTACCTCGTCTACACCTGCTGGTCTGTTCAGCCTCCTCGTGTATTTATTCTTCCTGAACCACCAGCTGCCTTTTCTTTGTTTAACCGTCTACCTGGTTTCAGTAAGTGTCAGCCCTCTGGTCCTCACCTGAGCACTTCCTGTCACACAGGTGTATATTTAAGGCTGAGAGAGTCACCCACCACTTTTCCCTGCACCGTGATGCCTCGTGGTCCTGCGCTGCCCACCAGGCCGAGGCCTCCCTCGAAGCCGGCCTTTCCTGGAGGACCCACCTCCCCCTGAGAAAACCAACACAGTTAGCTTCAGGAGAAACAAGCATCAGTGTGTTTTCATGTTTGTGTCACAACTGAAGAAGAGTTCATGGATGATGTGTTTGAAATATTGAACATTTAGATCCCTGTCCAGTCAGTTTGCTCTGCTTTTGGTTGGCTTATGTTGTACATGAACCTGCCAAATTACCAGACAAGCCTTTTACACAACAACAGGTCTGAAGAACGGGTCTAGCTCACCTTCTGGCCTTGGTCTCCCTTGTCGCCTTTTTCACCGCGAGGACCGGGCCTCCCCTGAGAGAAAAGAGCTGCATTTTAATACATTCTAACCCAACTAAATCACTTCTCTTTGATCCTCCCGTGGTGACGTACGGTCGGTCCGGGAGCACCGGGAGCTCCGGGGACGTCCGAGGTGCAGGTACAGCTGAAGGCCGGAGCCGGGCAGCTCTCCTCGTCCCTCTGAGGGAGACACACAGTAAAGACACCAGATGTCACAGAGAATCAGACATCTGATACGATAAATAACCTCTAATCTGGAAACACACTGACCACTCCTGGCAGGTCGCAGCAGGTGTCTTCTGAAGCCCACGTGGTGTTGCAGACGATCTCAAAGGACTGCAGCTGAAACTGGAAAGAACACACGATACACAGACAGTTTCCATGTTTGTTTGTTTGTTTGCACTTAAATGACAGCCTGGATCGTAATCAAATGAGGGAACAGAATAAAAAGTACTGGTGCCGATCCGCTGTTGGGCCCGCGGGTCTTCACCAGCTTTCCCAGCATCTCGAAGCCGTCGGTGGGCAGGTTTCCCAGAGGACGAGCCGGCCGCTCGCCGACACGCTGGCAGTCCACAGACAGAGAAACGCTCACCTGGCTGACCGACAGGTGAACCTGCAGGCAGACGGACGGGGAAAAAGAGAGTTTTATTTATTTTATTTTATTTATCAATAAAGTTTTATTCTAATTCTAGAGTCCAACCCCCTCTTTCATCATCTTAGTTTCAGGTGCAGACGAGGACTTTTCTGCAAAATGAAAGTGTCCTCCAAGAGCTGAGTTCAGTCAGTTTTTATCTCACCTTGTGAAAACTGCCGTAGAACAAGCGGTGAACCTGCGGCTGGTCGAAGGTCAGTTCCTGAACCTCCCCTCTGTAGTCCAGACTGAAGTACAGCAGATGTTTGGTCGCCGCTGTGGAAAACGCAGACAATCAGATCGTCATAGTTTTGTTCTTTTTGACTTGCAAAAGCTACTAAAGATAGGAGGCTGGCATCTTGTGTGGTCCAAAACATTTGGTTTATTCTTTTTCTAGAAACTAAGCATCTAGACATGTTTAAAATGTAAAAATATAGAACTCATTTTACTACCAAGTACTGTATATGTGTCCAAATATGTCCTCTAAACTAACAGATCTTCACTGTTGTCATGATGCTGCCACCACCATGCTTCACTTCATGATGCTGCCACCACCGGGCTTCACATCATGATGCTGCCACCACCGTGCTTCAC